GCTCCACCAGTTCCTGTCCAGACCAACCAGCTGCGCCTGCGATTAAACACAGCAAACGGCGTGACCGCCAGTGCTTCTCCAACCGAGAAGAAAAGCCAGTCGCGCGGCAATGAATCCTCAACGAGCTGCGCCGAGTCGGATGAGTGCGATGATGCCGACTTAATGTCCAGTCCAGCCTCGGCCTGTAACCAAGAGTGCACTACCTCTGCCACCGACTGGCTGGGGGTGACGACGAATAGCGAAGACTGCAGCTACACCTCTGATCTGGATCACTCTGATGGTGGTTTGAAGCACACGGCGTGTAGCGACGAAGATCCTGGAGAGCTGGATATCACCCCTACCACTATACTAAATCCACATAGCAGCCTGGACCGCAGTAAGTATTACTTTTTGCATCGAGAGATTTTTTCACACGATATCATTGAATTTATAAAGTTAGCTGCACCATTTGGGACCAGCGAGATGCCAAAAAGGCGCAGCTTTCCGTTCTGGAGATTGCGTCTTGCATAATCGAGCGCGTAGATTCAATGGGCGAGGCCAACGACTACATCTACATAGGCGTGGTCTTCTCTTTCCTGCTTACATTGATACCCATCTTCTGCCGACTCTGCGAGGTATGTTACCCACAAGGTTTTGGTGGCAGATTACTTATTACTTGTTAAATGCGCCCAGGTCACACTCGGGAGCGATGCAGAGAAGGCCAGTGAGATAAGCTACTTTAACATGCCGCAGCTGCTGTGGGAAAAGTCATCGGCATCGTTTTTCACCCTTCTGGGCTTTGCCTTCGGCGACACCCAGTGGGAGCGCACTGTATTGGCTTTGGGCTTTGTCCAACGCCTTTGCCTGACCCTCATACTGTTCATTATATTCGCCGTTGCAGAGCGCACCTTCAAGCAACGCTTTCTCTACGCCAAACTCTTCTCCCACCTCACTTCGTCACGTAGGGCTCGAAAGTCAAATCTTCCCCACTTTCGTTTGAACAAGGTGCGTAACATCAAGACCTGGCTGAGCGTGAGGTCGTATTTAAAGGTAAATATACTGAATTCACGTATGCCTTGAACAAAGTATTGTAATGTATGTATCCCAAAGAAACGCGGGCCCCAGCGATCGGTAGATATCATCGTTTCCGCTGCCTTCATAGTCACCCTCCTGTTGCTGGCCTTCCTCAGCGTTGAATGGCTAAAGGATTCGGTCCATCTGCACACGCACCTTACTTTGGAGGCGCTCATCTGGTCCATAACAATCGGGATCTTTCTGCTGCGCTACATGACCCTGGGTCAGAAGATACAGCACAAGTACCGCAGTGTTTCGGTGCTGATCACCGAGCAAATTAACTTGTATCTGCAGATCGAGCAGAAGCCGAAGAAAAAGGAGGAGCTGATGGTGTCGAACAGCGTGCTTAAGCTGGCCGCCGATCTGCTAAAGGAACTCGAAACGCCATTCAAGATCTCTGGCCTCAGTGCCAACCCATATCTATTCACAACCATCAAGGTGGTCATCCTGTCAGCCCTATCGGGCGTGCTTAGCGAAGTTTTAGGCTTCAAGTTGAAGCTGCATAAAATCAAAATCAAGTAACCTATGCAAGGCGCGACCCATCATATTTTTGTAGTACAACTTTTTCGAAACGCTTTAAAAGAAATCTAACATTACACTCTAAATTAGATAAGTGAATAAATTTAAGCGAGCCAATGTTTATGCTTGTCAAGTGATTGTTTAGCTGCGTTAACAAGCCCACTAACGACTACGTAAACCAATTTAAACTAGTATTTACCTACCTTCTAGAGCGACCTGCACAATCACAAATCATGTTAATGCATATTGTGCAATGAAGTGAATAGCATGAAAGTTCATAGAACTTTAAGCATAAAATCAGTGCACCCATTGTAGTTGGCTGTTTATTCTGTTACAGTCTCAAGTTCAATTCCTAAGGCGGTCTCAGCAAAAGTGTTGCAATTAATAAATGTTAGCAAACTATAATAAAAATCTCGTTTAACAATGTGTTTTGCCTTTCTTACTGGTACACACCAATTGCATTTCTATAGCTGTGAGTGCTACCAAATGGTTGTATTTTTTTCCTGATTGAACAGATAACAATCTAGATATTAATATCTCGCTCTGTGCAACGCCGCTTATGCTCGTTTGCTCTTCGTAATCGATAGTTGACTCTGCAGCGATCGATCAGCTGTTGCTGTTATCGTTATCAGTTCGCTGCCCACAACTGACGTAACTTTCGCCTCCACTAGCGTGGTAATTTTCGCATTTAGTTCCCTTAAAGTCCCTTCCCCACAAAATGATTCGGCTTAATGGGCTGTTCAGGAGCTCCTCGAGGGTGCTGCGCAGTCAGGTGCGACTGCTCCACGTGGGAGATGCCAATATACTGCCCAGCGAGGTAGACAAGCAGTCCGCCGAGTACAAGGTGCACATAAACAGGCTGTATTTATGTTTACACACCTGCTAAAGTCTAAGATTTTCTAGGAAAATGCCAGCGAGATGGCCAGGCTGGTTGGAGAGCTGCGGAACTTCACCAGCCAGGTGCTGAAGGGTGGCGGCCAAAAGGCCATCGAACGACACAACTCGCGGGGAAAACTCCTGGCCAGGGAGCGCATCAACCTGCTTCTGGATAAAGGATCGCCCTTCCTGGAACTCAGTGCTCTGGCCGGACACGAATTATACGGCGAAGAGGTGGTCAACTCCGGGGGAATCGTCACCGGAGTGGGACGCGTTTGTGGGTAGGTCTACTAAATCTAAGTTGATCGAAGCTCCACATCCGAACTTTTAGTGCTTATGTATATAGTATCCAGTCTGCAGAATCCAAGACTCTTTACTCGTTACCTGTACAGTAAAGGGATATTAGGTCGTTAAAAATTATAGATCGGGATCACTAGTCGATCTAGGTATGTCCGCCCGTCTTTCTGTCCGTATGAAGATCTGTGCGAGATCTCCGGAACTGTAACAGCTAGAAGATTAATATTAAGCGTCCTTGGTTTGTGCAAATTTGGTTTAAAATCTCAAATACAGTGTTTTTTTTATTATTTTTTGAGTGGCATAGTTATCTCTTGTTTTAAAGGTGGAAAATAGATATCCATACATTATGTTCGGAATCGTTTTAAATTGTCAGAAATAATATGAAATTCTTATTATAGAACAGAGTGCTTGGTGGTGGCCAACGACGCCACAGTGAAGGGTGGAAGCTACTATCCCATTACCGTTAAGAAGCATTTGCGCGCCCAGGAGATTGCTCAAGAAAACCGCTTGCCTTGCATTTACCTCGTGGACTCGGGTGGCGCCAACCTACCGCGCCAGGCGGATGTCTTTCCAGACAAATTGCACTTCGGACGCATCTTCTACAACCAGGCGAACATGTCGGCCCAGGGAATTCCTCAGATCGCCGTAGTGATGGGCAGCTGCACGGCCGGTGGAGCTTACGTACCGGCAATGGCCGATGAAAGCATCATTGTTAAGAAGCAGGGAACCATATTTCTAGCAGGTCCGCCGCTGGTGAAGGCGGCTACTGGAGAGGAGGTGTCCGCAGAAGATCTGGGAGGAGCAGACCTGCATTGCAAGACTTCTGGGGTCACCGACCACTATGCCGTGGACGACGAACACGCCTTGTATCTAGCCCGGCAGATTGTGAGCAACTTGAACTTGCCCGCCACGAATTCGTACAACGATCAGCTGATGCACTCAAGTCAAGCCAATTTCCAGAGTACTAATACGCCGTCTGCCATAGAAGAACCACGCTACGACGCACGAGAGCTGTACGGCATCGTGGGTCCTAATCTTACAAAGAGCTTTGACGTTCGCGACGTGATAGCGCGCATCGTCGACGGAAGCCGATTTACGGAGTTTAAGAAGCTATATGGCGAGACCTTGGTGTGCGGATTTGCAAAGCTATATGGCCACACAGTGGGAATAGTCGGCAACAATGGAGTCCTTTTCTCAGAGAGCGCTCTTAAAGGCGCCCACTTCATTCAGTTGTGCGCACAGCGTAAGATACCGCTTGTTTTCCTGCAAAACATTACTGGTGAGTTGATATATAAAGGGGACGGCTAAACGTTTGTAATCTGACCATCGATCTATGTAGGTTTTATGGTGGGGCGCGATGCAGAGGCTCATGGTATTGCCAAAAACGGAGCCAAGATGGTGACTGCAGTGGCCTGCGCTAATGTGCCCAAATTCACGGTGATAATCGGAGGATCCTACGGTGCGGGCAATTATGGCATGTGTGGTCGGGCCTATTCGCCTCGTTTCCTATACATGTGGCCAAATTCTCGCATTTCGGTGATGGGCGGAACTCAGGCAGCCAATGTTATGGCTCAGATCACCGAAGATCAACGCAAGCGAGCTGGCAAGGAGTTCAGCGAGGAGGAAGCCCAAAAGCTAAAGGCTCCAATTGTGGAAATGTTCGAGGCGGAGGGCTCACCCTACTACAGTACGGCTCGTCTGTGGGACGACGGCATCATTGATCCGGCCAACACGCGTCAGATCCTGGGCCTTAGCCTGAAAGCAGCCTTGAACAACGCCGGTCAGGAGACAAAGTTTGGAGTCTTCCGCATGTAAATCCAATTTGCATGCTAGAAAAATTTCATCGGAGAGCATTTACAGGCATTTAATGCCAGCCTTTATTACGAAACTGTTGCATTTATTAGCGTTAAGATAATTATTATCTGTGTAATGTACAACTGAGTGTTTATTAGGGGACGTGTTGAACCGTTTAAAACAATTAACCAATTTTTGAATTGCAAAAATATTTTATTTCCTGTGCAATAGAAGAAATGTTCAAGTCAAAAAGTTTCAGCGATTCAACAAATACTGAAAAGGAAAAAATAAAAGAAATATATGATTTTTAAAGTAACATTTCACTTTTTCTGAAAACGTTTTATGTTCGATTGATAAAGTTACAGCTCTCGTCCACTTAATCAACGTTTTCAAATATAACAGCCGAAATAGCTGGATACTGCACCGAACACTATCGTCCATCACTAGCGGCTATCGATAGCCATCCATGCGGACATGCGCTGGGCGGCCGATGCATCAGTGTACATTTTACATCCCTAGCGCTCGCTCGTTTAGCAGAAGAGAGTTCGTCATAGAATTAGCATTTCTTTGTTTAAAGCCAGGAATAATTTATTTCTCCCTCGGCCGAAGGAAAGCGACCAACTGATTAGGTGAGTTTATCAGAGGATCGAAGGATTTACCGGATGAATGTGCCTCTGCGTCTGCATGAGTCAGTGAGTGTATCTCTCTCCGTGTATGTGTGTGTGTGCGGCTCCTCGACTTTTATCGCAAAAAAAGAAGAGAAGAAGAAATGGCAAACCTAGAAGTAGCGTCAGCAGAAAAGAAAGTTCATCGGTACATATGTGGCGATTTAAAATAACTCTGCCGAAAACTTCAAGTGCACACTTGGGCCGAATAGCTGTACATCGCGGAGCCTGCGTGCGCCTGTGTGCGTGCGTGTGCCTTGTATATTTAAATGTCGCCTGCTGCTGATTCGTTTCCTCCTCCAAAAATAAAGTCCCCTATCCTGGTTCCTTGCAAGTGTGACTGACTGTCATCTCGGCAAGCGTGTGTGCGTATGTGCGTGTGTGCTTGCCACAGCCGAAGAGAAAGAGGCCGCAAAAATTCCGGTGCAGTGTACATATATGGTGGATGGTGTCCAACCCCTACCCCTTTCCCGATGCTCGCAACGTCTGGAAAAGCGGTGAAACCATATTCTCTGGGTTAGACCCACCGATTCGATGACGTCATTCTTCTACAACTTATCTCTCAAGCCCCCGCATTTCTTCGGATTGTGCGTTTGTGTGGTGTGTGGTGTGAGCTGTCCAGTTACCAACAATTCTCGGACTTGTTTTGTTTTCCTTTAGCTCAAGTCACTATTTTTATTGGCTTAATTGAAATGGGCTCCGCCGACGCAGCTTTTTGGCCTTCCCGATGTAGCTCCACTAGAATGCCGGTTTCTTTATTTTGGTTTCCACTCAAAAACACTGAAAACACTCACTCGCAGTCTCGAGCGGATTTGGCTCATAATATCGGAATGTTTATTTGTTGCTCAAACAGCTTATTGTTGTTGACACACTTCCACCCTGATCAGATTGTTTCACACTTGGGATTTGGACATGTGTACATAACTATGTTTTGAATATGGAAGTCTCCAGAATTGGGATAGAAATGGAAAGCCCGGCTTGGCCACTAATTCCCTGTTTCGCTCCTATTTTCCGTTTCCCTGGTTCTGCTTAATTAGTTCGCTTGCAACTTCCGCTGCACGCGCCCACACCCGCACACTGACTTATCGACAGCCACAACAAACTACACTGGCCGAAAAACCCATCACCCGTCGGCTGGATCATCCACTACGTAGTGTCTGGAATGGAAATGTTACACATCAGCGACTTACCAACTGGGAATTTTGTGGATATAATGATCTCCGATGAGTTATTGGGCATATGACTCATGAAACTGTCATGAAAATGTTGGACTGCTCAAAGTATAAATATTAAGTGTCACCGATCAAAGAGAGATTTGCAAGAAAAAAGTAAACAAGATCTTTCATACAATTTTGTTCAGAATTGCATTTTTAGTTAGTTTCAAACTTGAAGGAAATTAACCAACCGAAACTAAAGGTTTTATTTGAAATGCAATTTTTCATAGAGAAACCATTTGGTTTTATAAATATCTTTTCGGGTTAAGCATTGTATTATGAATTTCTTAATTAGGTTTGGTGTTATATTATTTGTAAAAATACAAATTTTACTGAATCATTGAATTTCATTGCCTTATCCACTTATGGGAAAAGACAAACTCGACTGTTTAAGAAATAACTAATTTAGTTGTAAGCAATTGGAATGCGTAATTTCTTCAGATGGAAGGATATGATTTCTTTATAGAAAACATTCCCCTGTGTAGTAATCCCTACTTGTATTTGGGGCACAGCTATTGTTGTGCCCTCTCTGGCGGGGGGCACTTAAATCAATAAGCGAGCAGCAAATCGCTCCGCATTTGAATTGGAGTTCCGCCCTTTCGGGTCAATGCACCGTACACTCGCGCAGCGAAAAGGTGAAGAGTCGGAGTTTTACGGAAACACTGAAAGGCCCACGGCCGACGTGAGTCGGTGTATTTATAGGCTGGCTGCCAAATGCCGGCTAATTCTTTATCTCGCTGGCCCACGTTAGAGTGCCCATGCTGTATGTTCCTGCTGGCCAGGCTGAAATTGATAATGCCAATGACGCGGTCCATGAGTAATCTCCATCTTCGAGTCGCAACGAAGCGGACCGATATCTACGCTTGGTAGCGGCGAACAGTCCAAGTTCATTGTTCGCCTGTTCCAGTGTCCGCGGAGCATTTTCATTCCACTTCGCCATCGCCATCGCCAGCCAATTCGATTGATCGTCGTTTATGCTCTCGTAAGTGTCGAGATGGGTCTGAGGAGTACTTATATGAAGTTCAGAATAACTTGGCTTGTGATTCTAAGGATTTATCCATGTCGTGAACTTGAGGAAAGCAGAGATACTGCAAATTTAAGGATAAGATTGTTTGGGGTATGAAATACCTTTTTGTCTTTATGATTAGTCGTAGTGCCGTGCCATTATATTTTAAGTGATTTTAAATACACATATTATAAACATTCATTTTTAAAAATAACTGGATGGCGACCAGTGGTCAAAAAACAGGCCTTGAGAATGTTGCTGTTCAGTAAAGATTTCAAAGCCTTCAGTATGTCACAGCCGAGCGTAAAACGAAATAAAAGAAACCAAAGTTACTTTCACAGTTCGTTTTCATTTTGCAAATTGAGTTACATAGGAACTTCGTATTTACACAAATAGTAAGTGCAACCAGGTAGATTGCTATGATCATTCCGGGATGTAAGATAATTAGCTTTTGGTATGGAAAAGCTTATTTGTGATGGCCAACCCGCCAAACTACTTTCGAGGAACATATTCTGCAGATTCGTGGAAAGAGTGTGCAACGGTAACATGTCCAATAGCAATCATTTGGCGTTCCCGGTTGCCGTTTGCTTTGCTGATGATTATCGTGATCTTGATATTGAGCACGCACATGGGACACGCTTCAATGCACCCCGAGGCAAAACAATTATTAGCTGCCGCAATTAAGAGCCGTTCATGGCGCTAGCACTCCCACACGGACTGCATGTGGAGCCGCCACTGTGCAGTTACCAACTAACCAGCCTTCTGCATCTTCGTTTCAGTGCTGCTCAATAAATCAGAGGACACCATCATGGCTGTTAACGTCTACTCCACAAATGTGACGTCAGAGAATCTCTCGCGCCACGACATGCTAGCCTGGGTAAACGATTGCCTCCAGTCGCAATTCTCAAAAATCGAGGAGCTCTGCACAGGTAAGTGGGCTTGACTCGTCTACGAAGTGCTTAGTGTGTGCCGGGATCAACCTACGCTTCCCCTTCTAGGTGCCGCTTACTGTCAGTTCATGGACATGCTGTTCCCCAATTCAGTGCCCGTAAAGCGTGTCAAATTTCGTACCAATCTGGAGCACGAGTACATTCAGAACTTCAAGATATTGCAGGCGGGCTTCAAAAAGATGTCTGTGGATAAGGTATACCCGCTCGCTTAGATTACTTTTGTATTTTTCGAACCTTTATTTTATTTTGCCACACAAATCCACCCAATCCGAGGAATGAAGAGTGGACATGGGCACGGTACAGTGGAAGCGCTTACAGCGTCACTATAAGCAATGTCCACTGTAACAATAAATTCCTATATGTTGTTACTAACTGCGATTTCCGTTACAAATGTACTTCACGATTACGCAAACACCGATCACACCGAACCACAGATCATTCCAGTTGATAAACTGATTAAGGGACGCTTTCAAGACAACTTTGAGTTTCTTCAATGGTTTAAAAAGTTCTTCGACGCCAATTATGACGGTCGCGACTACGATCCCGTGACTCAGCGGGGCGGAGTGAAGTTGGGCAATGGCAACGGACACGGCAGTAACGGAGGCAGTGGCGTGGGCAGCAGCAACAACGATCTACATTTGATGCACCGGCGACCACTGCAGGCTCCAGCTGGTAGCGGACGAGTGCCAGCACGGGTCATCGCTTCAACTGGTACGGTTCTGTCGAAGCCACGTACACCGGTGTGGAAGAGCCATTTGCTTGCCATTTCATTTCATTTGCGAAGCAAACGAACGTGAAGCACGCAGCGGAACCAGGCAAAACTGGGATGACACACCACACCACACAAAACTCCACAACTCCACCCACCCCACTGACCTTGGGCTGCTGGAGCACCACGTACCACACTAAACGCACACAAATTCAGTCGCATCCTAGCACAAAGCACACAAGTCGGAGGATCTGTTGTTGTCCCACATCCCACCCACTAACTCCTCTTCATCCACCGTACAGTGATGGGAAATACCTAAATATTTGGATCTATGTACATGTATATTTCCAACTCCAAATTTATTTATCGTTTTTAGTGTACAGTAATTCTGTACTACAAGGTTAAAAGCAAAAAGGTTAGATCATATCTATGGAAGCGGGTGTATACTGCTAATAAATCAAAGCAATTCATTATAAAGCCTGCTCACACGTTCGCAGGGATATTCCGAATGTTCAATCACACCGTTCCTAGTGGTTAAATCGTCAGTTACGTAGGTAAAATCGTTTGCTCACCTGAGTTAAATTTAACTTAAAATTTCTTCGTGTCACTGCATCATTGTGAAAGGTTTAACTTATGAACATTTTTTTTATGTGGTGCTTTGGCTGGCCAAAGATTTCTGTTATCACAAAATCATACCGTGTGTTTGTTTATTCTTCGTTCCCTTTGCATTTACATTCACCCACGCTCTCTCACCTGTCTGCATATTTCTCGCCCATTTTACTTTTAGATTATACCCATTGATAAATTAATCAAGGGTCGCTTTCAAGACAATTTCGAGTTTTTGCAATGGTTTAAAAAGTTCTTCGACGCCAATTACGATGGCAGGGACTACGATGCCAGCGCGGTGCGCGAGGGAGCCCCAATGGGCTTCGGATCGGGAGCGGTGAAGTCACTGCCCGGCACGGCGGCCAGCGGCGTGTCCAGCAGCTATCGACGTGGCCCAACGGCAACGACACGCCCGGCAACGACGTCTACAATGAAGCCCAGTATGTTGTTTTGGTTTGGTTCCCCAATTGTATCCTCCTATCGCTATCTTTCCTGTCATTATCGTACGCACTATCCACATGGTCAGAGAATTGTACATATCGCATGCCAAGGTCCATGTAGATGTTGTGAAACTTAAGAAACTAAATGCACATCATCCAAGTTAACACAAAAGCACGAAAAGAAGACACAAGCTGTCTGTGCTTCACGTTTGCTGATTCCTTATGCTTCTATATGCGGCCTGGAAGTTTGCCTACTAACCTCGCTCGTTTTGCCCATTCAAGCAGTCTCCAAGGTGCTGCCACGCACCAACAACGCAGCCCCAGCGAGCAGAATAACCGCAGGTGCCAACAGCACGGGCACGGTCAAGAAGAACGACGCGAGCAATTCAGTCAACAATCAGCAAATAGAAGAGATGTCAAACCAGGTGGGTCAAGATCAAGAAAATAAGCAAAAAACCGATACTAATATTCAGGATCAGGTCATGGATATGCGCATAAACCTGGAGGGATTGGAAAAGGAGCGTGATTTCTACTTCTCCAAGTTGCGGGATATTGAAATTCTGTAAGTATTGAATCCTACAGGTTCAATTAAGGACACCATGCCTACTTTCTATTACTTTTCTAGTTGCCAAGAAGCCGATGACGCCGAGGCGCACCCGATCATCCAAAAGATTTTGGACATCTTATATGCGACTGAGGTAGGACAAGTCTGTACTCTTTTTGGCCCAGCCCTGCAATCGCTTAGACTTATATTTTCTATTTGCAGGATGGTTTTGCGCCGCCTGACGATGCACCACCAGAGGACGAGGAGTATTAATTTAAAACGAGAACGAAAACGTTCGTTCTCCATTTGCTGCATACATATTCAAAACATAAGTCAAGAAGCATCATGAAGGGGACAGAGTTTATTATTCAGACAGAAACCAAGAAGACGTTAAGCAAACGAGAAGACTAACAAATGCAGTGTTTGATATCCTAAGCCGAGGCTGACAACAGGAGCGCCACGTGATTAAATAGTTATTCTTCAAACTTTTCTTTAATACTAACGCGTCACTGCTCAGAGATTTTTTTCGATTCAAAATTGTGCCCGAGAAAGTTTTGCTGCTGTTGACGATGAGTGTGAAGAACATCATCAACCATTTCTATTTAAATTGTTTGTATTTTAGCGGAATAAACGAAACTAAATCTCACTATCTAAAGGAAAGCCAGCCTACCCTTTTCAAAATTCTTCTTTGAAAGCTACACAAACTCCCAACTAAGAAAATTTGAATGCTCCGCTTACAATTTTACTATGATTTAGCTTAGCTCTTTGTATGGCTTACACATTTATAATTTTTTTATAAGTTAAACTTTTCACTAGCTGACTTTAGTCGTTTTGAGTGTTGTATGTAGTGGATCACAAGAGCCGAATTTGTCTAATCTGAAATTATGTTCAACAAACGGTATTTTGTACTTTCAATTTATATTTTTAAATAATTGGCTTCATAACAAAATAATTGTATAAAATAAGTGAATTTTGCTCTCAATTTTTTAAGTTCTATATTTATGTGTAAAACAGGCAGAACTCGTTAAAAAGTTTAAATAAAACCGAACGTCCTTCTATTTTCAAACACACCTTTTTGATTCCTGGCTATCAAATTACACAACGCACGGATAGGTTACCCTTACCCCAAGCGGAAACTTTCAACCCTTCATTTCTCTTCTCTGATCATTGTAAATAATTTGTTAACACACGATCCACACTCACATAATAGTCAAACTGTGTTTTTGAAAGACACAAGTAAATGTATGATTATCGCACGCCACAGCATTGCGGAGGAGCATCAGTGGGGTGTACCACCTGCGATCTATAATCTAGGTTCTAGAATAAAAACGTCTGTTGCTTGATTCAACATTAATGCATTTCTCATTTTCGCACACGGGCAGGGCACTTCAACGAATTAAACAAATGAAACTATTTGACGGCGCTCTGGATGTGTGGCTGCTTGTGGGTGCCGTCGCAGAAGGGTCTGTGGGTTGTCTGTTTGCAGTTGCAGAGCCAATAGTCTCCCGACTTTTCCACCTTGAACCGGATGGGCCTGGAAGACAAAAGGGGTATTACTTCGCTATTAGAGCTCGTGCTCAAGGACCTACCTCTGCTTGATCTTCAGGAACTCGTTCTTGTGCATTCCATCACAGAGGGGCTGGGACTTGGACTTGCCGCACAGGCACCAGCTGTATGTTTTATCTGTTGAGATCGCGAGTTGTGGTTATGTAAATATGTACTTGTTCCCTAGGCACCGGTTCGCTGGGATTTCTGAATAGTACCTTTGTCTAGGTGGATCTTGAAGGGTCGCTTGTCGAAGATCGCCCCGTTCTCCTTTTGCAGGACGGCCGTTTGCTTATCCTCGAGCAAGTTCTTGGGAATTGTTTTGGCCGAGTCCCCCGGTTTCGCGCTGGAACTGTAGCAGGCCTGGGTGGGAGTAATGCCATGAAATCTTCGGGTGATTTTTCTCAGTTACGGGAAGCTTACCTTAAGCAACCAGGAGGCCCCCAGGTTCCGCCGTAGTATCAATGACATGCTAACGCAGATTTATTTTTGTTCTTTATTTAAGCTGATAATTGCACTGTTGAAGGTATCGATATGTTGCCATCGATGGTCATGGTGTGGCATGGTCATACTACAAAGTTGACCAGGTTATAATGGGCTCATCGAGCGTATTGATAGTTACTGCTTTAATGTACACCTAAATGGTCACAGGGTATATGTGTCTTTCTGGTAGCGAGAAAGAAAATAGATTGGGGATTTAGAAATTGGCCAGTGCTGCCAGACCGCCCAAGCTAAGTGCCCAGTGCTGCTAAGCGTTCCGGCAATAGCACCTATCGATGCTCTATCTGCCGTTATCGCTGCCCAAGGTCGTCAATTTGAAATTTGATTTCACAATTCCAGAATCTGTTGAACTGATAAGCAGAGATATGATTCCGATGCGCCTAGAAATGTCTCTCTCCGTTTACAGGTATTTCAGCGGCTATCAAAGAAATTCATCTGAATGGAATGGCTCGTTTTGCGCCCCATACTTGACTTGGAATTCTGAGTTCCGACCGACGGGTGCACACGCCGAATTCTCCCAGATAACACCATTTATCAAGCGGCCCCGTTAGACAAACTGATTAGCTCGACCGCCTCGAGATCTTCTACGTAATATACTTTATTTTACAATACAAATACTACAAACGGGGGTGTCTTACGAACCGCTTCCAATAAAATATAAAGGGAAATCAATGCATCGCTTTACCGGAAACCTCTTTAACTTTGAGTAAACAACTAAAAAAACACCCGACTTGGAATACCACACTTTTCGTTTGCAGTTCAAGCCAAACAGGCCGAGACCGAGTTTTTCCGAGTTGTCTAAAACTCGTCGTTGAACGGGTAGTATTTATGTCCCGACATCCCCGAGAACGGCACCGTGCGCTGCCCGGTGTGATACTGCTCCATGCCGGCGACGTCCTCGGGACTCAGCTCGAAGTCGAAGGCCCGGAAGTTCTCCTCGATGCGGGCCTTGTTCGACGACTTGGGCAGTGGCACCACGCCTAGCTGGATCAAATAACGCAGGCAGATCTGGGCCGTGGTCCGGCCGTACTTCTTGGCCAGATTCTGGGCATGCTCGTCGTAGAGGAAGGGCGGCCACTGCCGAGCGGGCTGGGGGCGTGCCAGGGGGCAGTAGGCGCAAATGATCAGGCCGTGGCGCTTGGCGTGTTCCCGAAGCTGGCGCTGCTGGAAGCCTGGGTGGCACTCCACCTGGTTCACCACCGGGCGGATGCGGCAGTTGGCCAGCACTCGCTCCGTCTGGGCGGCGTTGAAGTTGGAAAGCCCGATGCTGCGCGTCAGACCGAGGTCCACCAGCTTCTCCATCTCTCGCCAGGTGTCCAGGTAGTCCACGTCCGTCAGCTCCAGGGTTCCGTGCACGTTGCTGTCGTTGTGGAACTTCTGGCCCACCGGCATGTGCATTAGATAGAGGTCCACGTACTCCAAACCCAGGTTGCTCAGGCTCAGGCGGCAGGCGCGCTCCACCAGTGCAGGGTCGTGGTGGATCCCACCCAGCTTGGTGGTCACGAAGACCTCCTCGCGAGTGACCACTCCCTCGGCGATCTTCTCGGAGATCGCCTGGCCCACCTCCGTCTCGTTCTCGTAGACGAAGGCGGTGTCCAGGTGCCGGTAGCCCACGTCAAGGGCGTGGCGCGTCGAGTGGTAGGCGTCCGATTCGAAGGACTTCCATGTGCCCAGGCCCAGGATCGGCATCTCGCGCCCGTTGTTCAGCCGGATGGTGGGAGCCCTATTGGTCATCGTGTCGCTGGCGCTGATAATTAACGCTGTGCAAATTGGACGCTTCTGAGTCTAAACCAGTGTGATTACGCCTTTCCCGCGATTCAATCTCTATCTGTTCCAGCTCGTCGAAAGCTTCGCGGACAACTGTTGGCCCGCTCAGCCGGTTTCGATGATTTTGTCACGGCGGCCGAGCAGCTGCTGTGTCATCCGGTGACGTCACGGACAACGCGCGGATATTCCCGACCAGCGATGCCAGTTTGGCTTTTTCCAACTAGATCTGGCGTTTTTTGAAAGCTCAATGCTGGATGAATTGTGGAATTGTACTCCGAGCAAAATACGCGTCATTTTAACGTTTATAAAACGACATATTTATATGCATTAAGAAATCAAGTATTCGAGTTGTACACCACAGCTGGCGAGGTATTCCCCAATTATTGAATCGATCGCGAGTGTAAGGCACTGCTCCCAAGCGCCCGGCGGGAATTATACATAGCCGATATCTAAGCCGATCTTTTTATTAATTATAATTAATTAATTATAAATAAGAATTAATTATGTAAGCAGCAGATAAGGTGAGAACAATGGTATGGACCAACTCCAAGTGAAAAAACCCCAAGTAGAGGGCGAATTGTAATGAATTTAGAAACACTCAAGGCAGAAGAGTTGGCGGCCGATCGAACAGGTAACCGATTGGTTTACATAAATCGAGAGGTGATCATCTCTAAAAGCTTCGACAGGGTTTTATCAAAGACACTAGAATAATTATTATTATAATATTATATAATATAATTATTCTATTATTCTAGTGTCTTTTGTTTTATCATAGGAACTAAAACTATTCAAAAATTCATTTTTGTTTTTAAGCCCTTAAATTAATTAAAGTTAAATTAAAAATTCCGATGATATAAACAGATGGAACTCCACAAATTTTTTCACAGTCCCTATTGCCCAAAATTTAAAAAAATTAAATTGAAATTGAAAAGAAATAAAGCTGGTAAACGAAATTTTGATAGCTATTGCGATATCAATTGCCCCCTGAGTACGAATAAAAAACAAGTAGCATCTTGCTAACACATAAATCTTTATTCGAATATTAGTTGAGTTCAAAATGTTAGACATTCAAAGATATATTGTTTCGCTTAGGTTCAACATTTAGAGTTGCTATTGAAATATCTGCTCTGCATTGCACAAATCTTGCTTCGGGGTATGGGGTTTCTGGTAGGTAGATTATGTAACTGGTAGTACGGCTTAAAGATCTCTGCTTTTGCTACACACATGCACGCCTATACCATAATCGATGGATTCATTACTTCTAAGTGGTTGGTGTTGTCTTCTTACTGTGAGCTCTGGGAGCCGTCTGGTCATCCCCATTACGAACTATTTATTCTACTTTGCTATTTGGTAGGTAAGTAAACTTCGAGATTGTATTGCGTTAGACATGTAAACACTGATTTGAACATTTAGTGGTTAGAACTAGTTACGGCTCAAACATTTACTGACTGATTACGACTGATTGCATTAGCTATGTCTTGGTAACGGAGGTATATACGTATAGCATGAATATATCTTTTTTGTGCATCCGTGAGTTACCCAATGATGTTGAATTTATGCAAGTGCCTAGGCTATATTTCAGAAATAAAAGTTCGTAGAGTTAGGTTTTGAGATTGTCAAATCGAATCACAAGTGAAATTTGAAATTTTCCCTTTTGGAGTACTTGCATATTTGATATATGTACTATATAGCATGTAAATCGTATTATTGAAAGTGCACAACAATAACAATAGAGGTGGTGTTTTGTTGCAATTACGTCAACATAGCAGTATTAAAAATGTAGAAACATTTTTGGATTTGACACGTTAGAAGTTTCCGTTGTGGGAAACGATTTCTTAACACTAAAATGGGTTATACGGTCCATATGCTAGATTAATGCATCTGCTAGATAAATATTTCCAGATAAATGTACTTTTCGCGTGCCATTAGCACCAAAGAGTTGGCTTATTTCGAATATTTCCTCAGAGGATTGTAAGGTTGCGTCGGGTTTAAAACGCCTACACAATAGATACTACCCGTTTCCGTAGCTCGTGGTGTAGATAAAGTAATTAATGGCTTTTCAACTCTACTTACAAACTGTACCATACTAAAATTGGTGTTGCTTTGCTTGTAAATCAATTCGAAATTTTTACATCTCATTAACTATGAACTAAACCATATTGTTTTGTTTTAATCGGTTCGCTATATCTATAAAAGTGTTGTCGAATATTCGTTTGCATTTGCTTTGTTTTATTATGAAGGAGAAACCACTTGATTATATTTGAATATATTGTTGATTTTGATTGGTTTTCATAAAGAAAAGTATTTAATACGAAAATTACATTCTACGCAAAGTGGTCAAAGTTTTGGTTACATCTAGGAATGGCGTTTACGTGATAAATCGTTGTTTGAGAGACCTTTACTTGGGAGAGGAGTTGGGTAGTTTGGTAACTACGAGTACATTTACTGACTGAGGGCTGCTAATGAAGGCGAAAGCGATACAGTCGTATCCCCGATCTTAGGATAGTCGGTAAAAATGTATTTACTATTAATGTTAATTCACATACCCCGCCATTTATATGGCTTTCCGAGCCATAATGATAATAATAATACATATTTTAGTTTACTATTAAGAAAAGTAAAGTTGTATTGGCTGATCCAAATTTTAATCATCTCGATGCTTCGACCTTTAGTTGACGCAGACGGACGTTTGTTCTATATCCGGCCGGATTAGAAATACTTCATATGGCCAATCGTTCTCTACTGCTACCGACTATAGTAATACGATGCATATGTTGTACAGTTGTGTTCAAAAAATAAGTACATTTTATACTGGGTGAAGAACCCCAGAGTTCTACGCACAATTTGTTGGACTAAAGGAAAATCCTTGAATAGTTTGAACTGCATTATTATTGTGAGATCTAAAAACGACAATTTGGAGAAATACTCCCGATATTTTAAACACAGTTGCACGTGTAATAAACAAATGTAAATATTTCTCATATGTCTATGTATGTACATAACTACAACTAATAAGGTCCCTCTCCAGTGTTTAATTATTTGAGTGCACTTGCATTTGCACTTTCTTATCCAACGTAGCATAGAAAAAGTATGCATTTTTGAACAAAATAAAACGAATTGGGGCTGAGTAAATAAATATTAATAAACGGTTTCGTATTTTATTGGCGAGTTGCCGTAAAAGAGGAGGGGCAAAGGACTACCAAATGAAAATAGGACTTGAAATTATAAATAAAGTAACTTATCCGCTACGTAGCTTACATGCTAATAACTAGCAGTAATTAGACTGTTCATAGTTGGTTTTAGTTTAGGGTTTATAAAAATATAGATTCCATGCTCTCGGATACGTTGTACAATTTTACAAACTATTCTACACCAGCTCGCGCGGGATTTATAGATTAATGCTTTGTGGGAAGTTATGCAGTATAGTTGTGTTTGTTTTGATGTTGCCTCCTATAAATGTTTAGTATCACACACGTCCAAGTTTTGTTTTTATTCGTTTCGGCTTCCGCGGGGAATCGCCGAATTTCAATTTGTTTTCCATCTTTCGTTTTGTACTAAAGCAAAAAGTTTCTCGTTTGCATTGCAATGCGTTTGGGTTTCAGTTCATTAGAAGATTGAGATAGTTCCTAGTCGGGTCGTAGATGTAGTACACTGTAGCTTAGGCTAATGCGGATGCGGATGCGGATGAGGATGCGGATGAAGGTTGGTCCGGGCTGTGGTGGCCGTGGCCCAATTGGCTCTCCGAAGGCAACAACAACCCGGCTAAGCTCATAACTGTGCAGCTAATTGCGGTTGATTAACACACACTAGGGTTAGACACTTAATACGCGCTACAGGCTAATCGGATGAGAGCTCCACATGGGCTTAGAGCTTCCTGGTGGGCTCCACCTTCTGGGACATGGCGGTGAGCACCCGCTGGTTGTCGATGACGCGGAAGCTGCTGATGTAGGACCTCACCTCGCCCTCGCTCTTCGGCGATGGCGGCTCCAGCCCTGTTCCAAATCGAAATCGAAATCGATGAGCAAATTAATTTGGAAGATGGGGTGAGCAGCCTTACCCAGACTCCTGGAGCGGCAGAAGCGGATGGTGCGCATCGTCTGCGCCATCATGTGCATCTTCTCGAAGTTCACCAGGCCGTCAAGGCTGGTTTTGTTGCCCTCGTGGGCGAAGGTCATGTCCTTCAGCAGGAGCGGCATGAAGGGTATCAGCGGCGGCTGCAGCTTGCCCACGAACACTCGGTACGCCCTGTGGTTGCGACTGGGGTCGATCAGGGCCTCGAACTCCTGGAAGATCTTCCTGAACTTCGACGGAATCTTCTCCCAGGTCTGTTGCAGCCTGGACACCGCCATGTTGGACAGACCCATTACCACGGCGAAGAAGGCGTTCAGGTTCTGGTACTCCTTGCAGCTGTAACGATGTAAAGAGTTTACTACTCTGTCTTTTGCTGGAAAGGATGTTTCTCCAAATGTAAATGGCCTTAGTAACATGTGGATCCATAGTGAGATCCATTCTAATATCATAGTATAGTAGTAACTTACTACGCGGCCAGCTTGATGAACTTCCGGACCAGACCGACGCGCTTGCTCAGACTGGGAGTGGACACCAGTTCGGTGACAATCCAGTATTGCACCTCGTTGAAGCGGCGGAGGAACACATCCAAGTTGGCGGTGATCTGCGAGTGGGAGTGTGAAATTCAGTCATCGTGGGAGTCGTGCCTACTAAACGTATGGCCCCCTAACTTTGGGCCATCTTTAATAAGTTCGAGTGGCAAAACTCTGGACTAACTCGATTTGCAAGCAGATGACAAATGGCTGCATTTTGCGGCCAGTGTCCAGCAGGATAATTACCCAAACGAGACTTTGGACACTTTTCGGCAAAGTTTGCCTGCCTACCTTGCCAAAGTGATGCCGCCCGAAGGTGTGGTAGAGCAATTCGTATTCATGGACGGCCCAGAAGAGGTCCCACTCGAACAGGGTGATGTGGTAGGCCAGCTCCTTGGTGCTCAGTATCTCAAGGTCGATGTCCACGCCCTCGGTGGGGCACTCCTGCTCCTGCAGCTGGGTCTGCGGAAGGGGCAAGGATAACAAATGGTCATCCAACAGCCCAGCTAACCAGCACTTACCAGGGCATCCAGGTGGTCCTTGACGGATACGAACAGACGCCCGTTGAGGGACAGGCCCGTCGGTATGCTGACATCGTTGTCCTTGAACACGGACCGCTCTCCGTTCGACTTCACCTCGACGAGGACGAGATCCTCGGGACCCCGGTTCAGCTGCAGCTTGTCGGCGGCACACGCCTTGATGAGCTCCGCCGTGGTGTGCATGGGGAATCGCAGGGTGCAGTAGGTGTGGTCGGCGCAGTAGACGCGGAAGATGACTTAGAAAGCAGAGTGGAAATCACGATGAGTGCTATCCTAGAATTAAATCTATATTGAATGGCACTTACTGTCGTCATCCGGTCGGATGACCGTCTTCGAAGGCGTCGCATTGCCACTGAAGAGGCAGATAGGCTGGCCGTTGGGCGGGAGCTTCCACTTCTGGCCGGCGTTCTGGTTGCGGTCCTCCTGGTAGCGCGCCATCTGGGTGAGCACGTTGTGCACTATGCTGGTCTCCTCGTTCAGGTCGGGATCGGCCTCCACCTCGGCGGCGAGGTCCTCGATGAAGTCGCAGACACTGGGCTCCTCGAAGGCCGCGTGGCGGACGGCCATGACCCACTTTTGCATGAACTGGATCACGCGCTTCTTGAAGTTGATTATGTACTCCCGATCCTCGGGTGTTTGGGCATCCTCATGGGCATCGCAATGGAAGGTGCACGGCGGTTAAGGCGGAAACCAATTTCATTTGGGATTGCGAATCGGATTAAGAATGGGATTTGCTGGGTCCTGGAAATCTGCTTTACTGGGTCAGTCGAACCCAAAGTGGTTTCCCCGTCTTGGGAATCTGGTTATTGATTTCTGTCCCGCATTCTCGCTAACCTTATTGCTACGTCCTGCCTGCTTATTAAACTCATCACGTATTTCGATGCAGATTGTGAGATTAGTTTCAGGCATCATTGACCAGAGCTGCTCCCCCACCATCCACCACCCACCACCCACCATCCACCATTCACCATCCACCTTGACCCCCACTGAAGCACCCCGAAAATGCTGACCCAAGTCATCATTGTGGCTTTGTTCCGACTGAAGTTGGAAGCGGAAGTGTAGCTTGTTAGCATTTTCTGCTACACTCGAGCCCAAAAGCCACCCGAAAGTCCCGCTGGCCGGGATCGGGGTCATGTGTAGGGGCTTGCGTGCTGGCGGCACTTAAACTGGCGCTGTGGAAATGTTTTGAATTCCCAGCCAGGGGAACGTGACTCGGACGGCTGAAGAGTGCGATTTTGCAGTTTAGTGCAGCCCGACTGTCGAGGAGCTAGCTAAACGGACCTTGGAAACGGTAGGCTTACTACATGGGGACTTAAAGAGCTCCTAGGAGGGGATTAGGTTCTGAGACGTGGCTGGAATTGAAAAATAAATACTAGATCTTTGTTGTTTAAAAAGGATATTAATTGGCCAATTCATCAACCAGCTGAACGACAGGCATGAATACGATGTGTGTGAGCAGGAAGTCGTCCAAGAAGGGGTCCATTCCACCCACGGACTGGCCCAGTCGCGTCTCCAGCAGGTGCTCCAGCATCTTCGCTGGCGTGCCCGACATCACCGTATATCTGTGGGGAGGTATTCAAATATATTTTGATTTTGATCCCAAGACTATCCGGCTTGGTAATGCAGTGAAGTTGTAACATTCCGTCACGGCGAAAAATGGCCGTAAAAAGCGAACAGCAGCCCATCAAATCAAACTCGTAATCCAAATTCATTTTGAGACACATTAAAAATTGATTAGACACTCACTTAAATGCCGAATGCTGTCCACGTTGCTTTGCCACGCGCTCGAGCACTAAAACATCCTTGCCGTGCTCCTGCAATCTCAGGGTGTTGGCCTCCACATCGCGCAGTATCCGGTTGAAGTGTTCCTTGTCCACGCGCAGCAAGTGGCAGTTGTTCTCCTTCAGTACGATGGTGGCGGCTCTGCGGAAGACGGGGTAAATTAGATGTCCTTTGGGAGGATGTGTTTAAAGCAATGTTTGAGCAACAGCCTCGTGACTTCATATGGTGAAACGAGTGTGATGGCTGGATGCACTTGATGTCCAGCCCCGCAGTTGGTAATATTTTAAATTGGATTTCAGCGGCAGATGCAACTGCACGTTGGCAAATAAACTCAATTGATATATGCGGAATTATTGCCTGCCTGCCGATATGCGCGATTTATTATATTTGTTGCGGGCAAACAAGCTCTTTGACTGTTTTAATTAACCCGAAAGCCGAGTGGGAGCTTAAACTAGTTATCCTGTCATTGGGGCATTATGAACGGAAGTGGAAGTGCACGCATTTGGGTTAATAAGCCTGCAGACAAAACGAGTCCTGGCAGAGGGACTGCCTCCGTTCAGCTCTCGATGGCCAAACAATGGCAGCGGATTCCATTCTTTGGCAACTCTTTGATGGTTTCTGCCTTTGCCATCCGCTCAAGCGTCAGGCTTACAAATTGGACGTTGGCCTGGCCGATACTTTGTTTTAAATCTGAATTGTTTGCAGCGAAAGCGCACACAATGCCGCTGGTTATCTGTCGCTGTTGCGGAGGAGCTTGTGGCCAGTTATCTCGAGCGTTGCACCAAGTGGGCCGTGGTGTAACTTGTTCGGGCCATTGTGGCTGTGCGGCCATTGTCCGGCCAAGTCCGTTGTGCTGTCAGTGGACGAGAAGGTGGAAACCACAGAAGGGTCCAACACGGGCGGTTGCTCAACAATCTTAACAATTGCTCAATGGCATCGCCTCAATCGGTGCGCCTTCACTCACCTGGGTGCGTCGTTTATCAAGGCCAGCTTCCCAAAATCATCCCCAGTCTTCAGAGTGGCAACAGTGCCCTTGCCGTGTATCACAACGTCCACCGACCCCTTGAGCAGGATGTACCAGGAGCGTCCTTCGTCGCCTTGATTGAATACTGTTAATGGGTTAAGAGAGTTGAGGGATAAGACTCGTTGCTGCGCCGTCGTGGGTTGGCTGACCCATTATGGGCCCTAATCAGCCGGGGCTTAATTAAAAAGTTTCCCAACTGCTCCCATCCTGCCCCTTCGCAAATCACAGCTCCTCAGCCTGGGAGCTATTAATCCTGCGGCCGGATACTCACATATTGTGCCCGCCTGGGCATGAGCCTCGAACACGAAAATGGACGACAGCTCCCGCTTTATGCTGGTGGACAAGTGGGAGAGCGCGGCAATGTGCACCAGTTCCTCGAAGACCAGCTCCAGCTCCTCCGATGTTCGTTCGTGCGAGCTGCGAATTAGGGAATATAGGAAATGAAGGCATCTCAATCGATTCACAGGGTAAGTCTGGGAATGCCCAATGGGCACGCCTTTCAGGCTTGGGCCGCCTGGACTTGCACCCTCCGTACTTACGGTTTGCGCAAGATCATACGCAGAGTGGCGTCCGGTCCGCGCTGGAAGAGTGCGCTGAGCGCCTCGCGGATGTGCTCGTTGGCCGCTCCGAGGTCCTCCGCCTGGGGCACGCCCGCTGCCGCCGTGCCGCCCTCCTCGTCGAGGCGGAAGCGGTAGAGGAAGCACTTGTCCTTGAAGGGCTGCTCCTTGTTGACTGCGGAGGGGCGCCGATTAGGAAATGCAGCACAAGCTGTCGGTCGGAACTCACCGTGTGCGAGTACTCCTTCCTCGAGGAGCGCCTGCCACATGCCAGCCGCCTGGGCGCGGGTGTGGACGATGGGCGAGAGGTTGACCAGCCAGTCGACGAGCTCGGTGCCGGGGGCGCACTTGCGGATTAGCTTGCCGGAGACCTGTTCAGGTGGCATAATTAGCTTCCCGAATCATCAGACGCCTCCCACTCACTCACCTTGCGATCCTTCAGACAGCTCGAGTTGTCGGCGACGAGTAGTGTGCGTAGGGCCCAGCCCATGCGGTTCATAGCAGGACTCGGCGTCTGGAAATACAAACTCTTTCAACTACCGATCTCGGGAGGCCAGAAATGTCAAAAGCATAGGAGGTGTCCCCCGTGAAAGCCACATAAATATTTTGTAATTCCCTTGACGGCCTCTGGAGCAGCAAATTAACTCATTTGTCGTCGTCCATGTCAGGACATTACATTGTTGTTATTTATGTGAGTTCCACGGCGGCGCTCCGCCGGCTTCCTCGCGCCCTGGGCTCTTACCTCGGTGATGGGCAGCGCTGGGTTTGGGTGGTCGGGGCTGAGGGGTCGCTTTGTGGGCGATGTGGCTGCGGCTGTAGCTTGTACACTGGGTCCAAAGCCTGCAGAGGAATGGTTCAAGATGGTTAATGTAGTTATGTGGGCTTCAATAATTGAGCGCTGTCAGCTTGCAAATGAGACTACCGAATCGAAATAGTTGTGACCACAATATGAAATATGCTTCTCAAAAAACAAAAAAAGCAGATTGTGTGGAACCATTAATCAGCAAGTACACTCAGTGTTAGTCATGCGAAAACTTTTGTAGGGCTTTTTGGATCTTTTGTATACATACCGTTCTTCAACTTGCAGTTGGTGAATATGTCATTCATTAACTCCTTGTTTTTCTGCAATGGAAAGCGTAAATAGCCATTAGAAGTGGGTAGTTGGGTCTGCTTGCTCGGTGATTCCCATTACGTTGTGCATTTCAAATGCCGTCGACTGGGGACGTGTCATCTGCCCACGCTCCAGCTGCCTTCGCCGCTTGACGGCGGCGGAAGTGGCGCCTGCTGTGGCCTTGGTGGCCTTGGTGGCATTGGTGGCCCCCACCTCGAACTCCCCGCCGCTGTGGCGTCGGTAGCGGAGCAGGAGGACGTTGGGGGCCAGCTCACTGCCGGCCACAAACTGCGTGGAGCAGCGCTGCTGGCCGGCTGCCATGTGGGGAAACCTCTGACTTCACTTTCACTTGGGAGCGGAGTTCAAGCTCGCAGGTAATTGCTGCCAAACGCTTCTCCATGTACTGATAGCGTCAGGAGGTGACAATCACACGAACGCCGCGGGCCGTTGTTTGCAATTACTTATCAGGCACAAGGGTTGCCAAAGCCCCTTCATAGTTCGTGTTCCGAACAGCATACTTAACCCAATAGCTGCCACCACCTCCGGGAACGTACATACTCTAATCAGAGCTTTTTAAAACGGCAACTTGGGCAACTTTTCGAAAGCGATAGAGTGCCCGTAGTACACAAAATGAATACGCTTCAACTGTCGAGTTTAATTAATTAATTAACAAAGCATATATTTACATTACTTCAAGGGGAAAATTATTTTTGGCCCAAAGACAAATTTATAGAGTACAGCAAGTGGAGAAATAGAGTTTAGGCAAAGTTGCAGGCTGAATTATTTTGAATATTTTCCAATATTGGTTTTAATATTGGTTTTGTCCGCATGATCTTGGAAGAAGATTTCATATTTTAAATGTTATTAAGTATTTTTTAGTTTCTGTTGGTTGGAACAACCGCCATTATTTTAAAAGTTATTATAAAATGAAGATAACTATATAGCTTCTCCTGGATGCAAATACCTTCTCCAACAGGTTGCAAGTTTCGCAGAAATATACGGTATGCGTTAGACTTTTTAATGTGTTACGGTATCTGACAGTAGAGACGTTCCCCTCTGTCCATTAATTAAACATGAAGTCCAATGTTGCACCTCGTTCAACAGGTTGCAAATTTCGCAGAAATATACGGTATGCGTTAGACTTTTTAGACGGTATCTGACAGTAGAGGCGTTCCCCTCTGTCCATTAATTAAACATGAAGTCCAAGGTTGCACCCTCGTTCCTTCGATTTCCCGCACTAACGAGACTCATTAGCTTGAAAGGGGTTAAAATCAATGCCAAGACGCCTGGCAACACTTCGAGTTCCGCCCATCGATAAGCGATAAGCGCCTTTCGCTGTTGGCGTCGCCGTCGAAGCTAATTAAACTCGCTTGCTTATCAAACGCCCGCCGAAATGAGTGCCACCCACCGCGTGCACCCTTGTTTTCGAGAATAGTTATTATTATTTATTTGTAGTATTTCGAGAATACTTGTAGTTCTAGACTTGGGGGCTCGGGTGGTGGAGAGCCTGCGCCTTGAAAGTCGGACAGTGGTGTTTCCTGGGGGTTTGGCAATTGGCTGGTTAACTGTGCGAGGTTCCATTATTATGTATAATTCGAATTTGAGCAAACTGAGCGTAGGAGCCTTATCAGGACAATGCTGCGATTGTAAAAGCCCGCGAAGTGGAACATTTATTTAACTAAAACTTTGGGGTCACATTTGAGTTCCAAGGTTGAGAAAGTATTTCTTATCAGTCAAAATGCAAAGAAGTTTTTTTGATACATTTACTCGTTACTCGTTACATCGTTACTCGTTGAGCGAAAGGGAATTCGTCGGCAAGTATGCAATCAGAACTCCACTAGGGAACTACAGAACTCCTTTGAAAGCAAATGTACAGTTTTAAATACTCATCCAGCTGCAACTGGGTTAAAATGCCAGAACGTTGAGTTAAACTTGGCTTAAAGTGTGTCAGTTTTTAAGATTTGTTGGCTATTCTCGTCACTCGTTGAGCGAAAGGGTGTACAGAATTCGTCGGAAAGTATGCTAACTGAACTCCTCTAGGGAACTACAGAACTCCTTTGAAAGCAAATGTAAAGTTTTAAATACTCATCTAGCTGCAACTGGGTTGAATTTAATTTGGCTTAAAGTATTTTAGTTTTTAAGATTGGTTGGCAATTCTCGTTACTCGTTGAGCGAAAGGGTGTACAGAATTCGTCGGAACTCCACTAGGGAACTACAGAACTCTCTCCTTCGAAAGCAAATGTAAAGTTTTAAATACTCATTCAGCTGTAACTGGGTTAAAATGCCAGAATGTTGAGTTAAACTTGGCTTAAAGTGTGTCAGTTTTTAAGATTTGTTGGCAATTCTCGTTACTCGTTGAGCAAAAGGGTGTACAGAATTCGTCGGAACTCCACTAGGGAACTACAGAACTCTCTCCTTCGAAAGCACATGTAAAGTTTTAAATACTCATCCAGCTGCAACTGGGTTAAAATGCCAGAACTTGGCTTAAAGTGTGTCAGTTTTTGAGAAAAAGAGACCGTAAAGAGACTTGGCTGCTATTAAATAATTTCTCTCTGTTGCCAAACATGGCAGAGAAAGTCTGAAGGAGCTTTTGAGCAGGCAAGCGAATGCTTTCCTGGTAGACATCTAGGTTTATGCTTTCCGTTCAATGGAACAAGGAAACCAAGCCATCTGCACTAATAGAAGGAATTTCTCGTTTCTTTCCGGCAACTTAACCAAAGGGAAACAATACTGCAGAACTTTCGAGAAAATCCCATGGATTTGCCAAGGAGTGTGTTCATTGAGCAGAGCTCCAGACTCTGATGAAATTTAAATTGATCGACGCAGCCTGCACGTTGATGACCCAAGTGGGCTTGTGTCCCTCCTCGCCCAAGGCTTTCCAGTCCTTTGGGGGGATCCGACCCGCTCCCAACCAACCATCTAGCTCCCTTGCGGGTTCACATGTGCAACTTGTGTTTGTGCATAAATAAATAACCCGTGACCATGGACATGCAACTGCGCTCGTAGACATGCCACGGGGCTCCCAGTGCAATATTTATGGCCTGGTTATAACGCAGACCACATGTTTGGCAATGCCGTGGTTGCGACGGCGGCCAGAACATAAAACACGCCCGAAATTAAATGCAAATATTGGGCAACCAAGTGGCATTGCATCGCATCAATCGCATGGAGTGTGAAAGTAGCACACTCGGCAGCAATCTGCGGATTTTCTGCAAGTGGCAAGTGTAATTTCCGCCATTGATGCAGTCAATGCATCCTGCATCCGACTGGGCTCAAATTGGCACCAAATCCTTGCATTTTTGCAATCAAACCCAATTGCCATCGCCATCGCAATCGCTATCCCGATGCCAATTGCCATCCGAGTGGTTGGCTTGTCCGGAATAATTGGCAGCCATTGAATGGTAAGTGGACTAGCATTTGGTTTTGTGCCCCGGGCTGCGGTGAAATGAGACTGGTAATTAACCCAAATTCCCTTTCGCCCGCCACATGCGACTACAATGGCTTTCAAAGACATTTTCAATTTGGCCCTCCCGAGCAAATATTTGCGCACAAATCAAATGCTCGACTGTGCTGCAAAGTGGGCGGGACGAGCCAAGGATGACAGGTTCCACGAACTCCATGGCTTATGTCCCTGGCGCTCTTGCGAATATTCCTCTTATTCCCCTTCAATTTGCCCCCTGATTTTATCGCATTTACGCAGTGCCACTCGCAGTGGCAAACGCCCCCAGTTCGCATTTTTATGGTCCTGCATCCACAGCATCCACAGCATCCGCCATCGACTTTCACTTCATTGTTGCACACTGCGTATACGTGACATGTGGTGGCACTGCTGTCGCAGCTACTTTGTTATCGCTCAGTTCAGTTCAGTTGGCTCAGCCCAGCTCAACTGGGGCTGCCAATGCTGGCATAATGTTGCGAAATAGTATTCGCCCCAATTTGGGGTTTGCTCCCGCTCCCACTCCTGCTCCCAATCCCCTGCTGCTCCTGCTCTTCTTCCTAACAAATAAGGCAAACAGACGACCCTCAGTAATTCCGTGTGCCGGGCTCATACCTTTTGTGGCTGCCGCAGGAGAAGACTTGGGGCCTGGCTGAATGGCATTGTTAGTGGGGTTTCTGGCACAGCACACAGCTTTTACATTGAGATTTGCATTCGGACACTGGCAGAAAGAAGGCGTCAAGTAGTTGGGGATACTGCCAAAAAGTATCCTGTGGCTTGTTTCTAGGGTATTTGCAGCTTGGGTTTGGCTCAGTGCACCTTTTGCCGATTGTGTGCCCTCTCAAATATTTACATTTTGGCATATGTAAGCCATGTTGTGTTTGACTGTAGTCAAAAAGATGCCTAACCACATTCCGGCCTTGTGGCATGCCAAATGCAAATATAATTCATTTTCGCTCAAAGGCATTAGGCATTAGGCATTTGCCATGGAAATTAGGCCAATCGAAGCCATCCGAATAGCCAGCTGGGTTTACCAGCAAGCCTTTCCAATTAATTATCCAGTCCCCAGAGTCCTGCCAATCCTTCTAAGTGCGCGGGAGCATGCAGCACGGCCACAATGATGCATTGCAATGCTTAAGCCAACCATTACGTTCTAATGCCACTCTCCATATGCTCGTAAGTAAAGGGGCAACAAAGAACTACTTAGCCCACGGGGAACTTGGCTTAAAGCCCCACTCTGCGACAAGGCCAAAACACTTAACAAGGCCAGGGCACCAAATTACTAGCCATGTGTTTTGGGCTTGGGCGGGGATTCGTTGGGAAAAGATGCCTCGGGCCCAGGCATCATTAAATGTTAATTGAAATTTTAATTAAATATTTTCCACAATGACGAGGGAATACCGCGAATAGTCCTGGCCCGCTTCTCGAATTTCTGCATATCATTTTGGCAACTCATTAAAGAACAGAAGAGCACGGCGCAGACGGATTGATTCCTTTGACAGCAGTGGAATGTACAAGAACACCCCAAACTTACCTCCCAGATGAGTCGAAAGTCCTGCTGCTCCACCCGCAGCAGCTCGCAGGTGGTCTTCGTCACTACGGTGCTGTCCCGCGGCAAGTCGTGCAGTACGGACTCCCCAAATGTGGCGCCCACGCCCAGGTTGCACAGGGTAACTGCGCTCTGCAAATAAATAGGGCAGAATATACAGTTAGACACGCTCAGGCTGGACTTAAGATATAAGATACATATATAAGATACATATATAAGATATAGTTATAGCACCGGGTACTCCCCGATTGAAAAAACTGAAATAAGCGTTTACTTAACGCGGAGAGAAGGAACCGGCATTTTCAGCCAAGCTTAGTCGGTTGATCCAAGTAGTTGTGTTTCCCCCTAAATATTCTTATCTTCCTCAAATCAAGAACTTTCATTAGCGAATCTATTCTATTCTAAATATTCTATATTTGAAATAATGTTGAAATGTATTAGAAGAATTGTACTACTCTTTAAATGAGTAGAATGATTCAACAATAGATTTTAAATATTATATTATCTAAGATAATAATATTATCATTACACCCATGAGAACTTAGCCATTGTTAGTAGGGCATCCGAAGGTCGGAGTTCAATGCCACCCTCCAGATACATCTCCGCAGATTAAGCACTCTGTGGTGGCTGGGCTGCTCCATCTTAAGCTTGTACTTCGCTGGCCTCTTACATCTGGCGCAATTAACGCAAATGGCCGCAATTTGCTTGTGGTAGCAGGGCAAACATTTGCTTAAAACTCTAATCGCTTCATTGTCGCGTTTTCCGCAAACCACGGACACTGAAGCACCACAGCGCCCAAATGGAAGCCGAGGAGGAAGTGCAGCACTCTCTACTCGGATGCAACGAGCGCGGATTGGAGCTGTCTAACCGCAACATTGCAATGACATTTTAAATTAGCCACTGTTTGTTTTCCCACCAGTCTTCCCTGAGTTCTGGGCCACACTTCTTGAAGCTTGGAGCTGAGAGCCCTAGGGCTTCGCAGACCCATTTTGATGGCAACCGAGAAGCGGAGAACACGGAAATCTTGGCCCGCCGTGTAATTGGCTTAACAAGACTTGAAGCCACCGCAGAAATTGTTAAACTCGCATTAGCCGACACATGGGTGCACAGTTATTGCGGCGCACAGAGACCATAAAATATACTTTAATTAATTCCCGGTCTGTGTAATTGCGAAGTTGCTGTTGTGGCACCTTTCTTTTGGCCAACTCGAAGCCGCAAGTCTCACTCGCTTTCTGCTGATTTATTGCGGCTTTTGTTTTTTGACAAGCGTCAAAAAGAGTCTGCCACGCCCTCCCCGCGCCCGCACCCAAGCTGAATTTGATTGCTTTCTAATTTATTGCAGCACTAAAAGTTGACCCACAGACGCAGAAAGAGACGGCGCATGGCGGCAGAAAGAGACGGCGGTTTGCGGCAGAAAGAGACGCCGCCGAATGAAAAGCGGCCACCGACCGAATTTTGTCAACCAGCATTTCCCTTTCGCAATTTCCTCCAGCCGCCGAGAACCGAATTGAATTTACGCCCAAACAATAATATTTGGAAAGCTGCCCGGCTTTGGGTGTTTGCCAGTTTGGAAGAGGCGCTGTGGGCGGCTGGCTTAGCTTAATTTTATTTAACGTGCTGAGGATTGGTGCAATATAACAAGTGTAAGACTCTACTTCTATTTTAGTCAACAGGGAAAACCTAGTCAGTGGGCGGAATTTGTGAATTCCACACTGATTTCGGGCGATTGGCAACTGCTTTTTAGGCGAGGGTCAAAATCGTACGTAAATTCACTTTAATTTCTAGTGCAGTTTTCTAGTTTCATGTGACAAAGCCAGTTAACTTTGATAGCGGCTTCGGCACTATTTGGGTTCGCCCAACATAACATGAGTGCTAAAAGCTTTAGACAGGAGGTTTTGTTCTGGTTAAATGGCTAAATGGAGGTGGAAAATCGAAACTGGTATCCCCTCCTTTTCCGAGTTTTTCCCATCGAATTGAATTGAATCATATTACTGCGTGATAACCGCCTCTGTCATATAAATATGACTCCCCAATATTCAGCAAGCATTTCATTAAGATTGCCACAACATATGACAACCTTGAAATCTGGGTTTAGATTTCAGTCTCGCGAGGACCCTCTGCAATAATAAAAACAAAGCGTTCCAGAAACTTGGCTATCGCTGTGGGGAAGTGCGGCTATGGCCAGCTTGTATCTGCGGCTGATATGGAGTCGGAAACACGGCTATTCCACGCTGGTATCAACGGATGGGATGGAATCTGCATATGCCATGTAGCCACGTGTGAGCACGTACATTTTTCTCGTTTCTTTACATAAATGCGGGTTGCAATGCAATGTTTTACCTTTGCATAATGTCGCGTTGATTGCTCCACGTTATACGTACAACTGCGACGAAATAGCATTTTCCCTCCTTGTCTCGCGCGCCGCCCTCTCGCTCGCTCACTGCCGCCGCCACTGGAATTCAGTTAGTGGATTTTGGACACTCGGGCCGTTTTGCATATTCAAATTCAGCTGAGCGACATTTGAAAATATGAGCAGCCCACAAAAACAGCGAAAATGCAACACGTTACCCGGATTAAATGGAATTGCTGATGGTTTGTTGGCCGCTGCTGTTTTTGATTGCAGGTTGCGGACGTGAGCTCGAAATAGCGACCTCCCACTAACTAGGCTAAAAGCAGCACATGCCCACATGCTCCCCAGCTGCCATTGATAAACGACGTGGACGCGTGTTACTCCGGGCCCCAATCAGGCGCTCTTTTAGCCAGCTTCCCAGCCAGTTGAGTTTGCGTTTCGGCACTCGAGTTTTCCAACCGCGCGGCGACGACTCGCAAAGCGAACTGAAATTGAAGTTGCGGCCAACTGTGTAAGTCAGCGGAACTGGCGGTGACGCTGTTGCATGGCACCGGCTCTTTGTGCAACGCGATGTTGCAAGCAACAACAGCAACACCTGCAGAGTCAGCTGCAGCCAGCTACCATGGACGGCCAAATTGGAGCGTTCTGTGCTGTGACAGCTCCATTGACCAACTACGACCCACACTGGCTGCCAGATACTAGCCATCGGAGGAGGAGTCCGAGGATGGGCATGAGTTATGTTACGGGGATGGGCACTTTCTACCAAAAATGATGATTTATGGCAACTGTGCAACACACAAGTAAAATTAAGCAGGGTGTAGTTCCATCAGAGGTTTGAAGCATGCAACACAAGCAAAACCTAAGTGATTTGACTGCTGGCGAGGGCATCACACATTCGCTGTGCAACTGCCACACATCGCGATGCGGTGGAGTGGCAGCCTTGGGTGACGTTGGGTGCATGCAAATAATCCGCGCCAGAGCCCCGGGCGCAGACCGTGGCCATGTCCATGTGCATATCCATGTCGGCGGACAGGCGCGTATCCATATCCACCGCCAAGCAATAGCGATAGCGATAGCGATAGTGGCGCTGAAACCCAAGCCCTGTCCCTGGCCATGCCACATGCAACCAGTCGCATTGTTTTTCGGCCAAATGTCCAGTATCCCACGTCCATGTCGACTTTTTGTTCGCTGGCGCGCTTGAAAAACTTTTTACGCACATATGAGCACGCTTCCGTCCGTCGCAGTTGCAATTGCTGCTGCTGCTGCTGCTGCTGCTGCAACATCAGATGCTGCTGCAGTTTGTCTCGCATTGCAGCACCCGGGCCAATTCAGTTGGGCAAACAAGGATGTGGACTTAACTTTGGGCGATGGCGATGGCGATGCGAGCGACTTGCTTTGATGGCGCTCGGGCTAATGGAATTTCAGATGAGATGTTGCTGGTTGGGAATTGAAAGTTTTCGGGCTAAACAACCTTAAAGTTGTGGCTTAAACAGTCGGAATGCTTTATGGCCTGCGTTGAACGACCTTGACACTTTTATTTCAGTTATGCTTTATCTTTATGTCGGTGCTTTTGCACTTGTTTCTTGCCTGCCAGTAATTAATTTAGTTCGCCCTCCCACAGCGAAGGTAGCGAGCGTTGGTCGCTCGGGCAGCGCGTATCCGCCAGATACAAGTATCCACAAAAACTATTTGCTTTTGGCGTTTGCGCCGCTTGCATAAATCTCTGACTGCGTTGTTTGTCTAATTAATTATGCCAATTGGGTCATCAGTTATTAAGTGGAAAATATTCACTTGTTTGTGGTTTTTAATCCGCCTATGTTTATAAAAAGTGTCTATCACCGAATGATGAGCTAGTGCCAACAAGGCAGTACATAATTAGTTTATCAAAGCACATTTTGTGTTCCCATGCCCGTTAGAATCACGCCCCCGATTTTCCCGTCTTTAGGCACTTGCCTCAATTTCCACGCGTTGCATGCGCCGCTGACGTTAGATAAACATTTCGCTACCGACATAGTTAAAAGAAGATGGGCTGGGAATATTATTGCGAAGGGGCATAAACTACATTTAAAAATGGCTGTTCCATTTTCTGCGCTACAGGCCAGCCCAAAAAGTAGAATATACAAAAAAATGTATCTAAAGGTTACTATTTATGCTTATAGTGCAGGGCATTTGTTGTGTGTTGAACTTCTATAAATTCTTCAAATTGCCAGATATAAATTATTCTTCAGAATAATCACAGACCGGAAAATTGAATCACTCAATCGCATACCAAACGTATAAAGTTGTCGAACCGAAAACAGATCCCAGCTAAAATAGGAAAAATAATACCACGTTTGCCATGAAGAATCATAACTTTTACTGAATAAAACAAAAGTCAAGTGCTGGCAACTATAGTTCTTGTTCAGGTTCGACGATCTAGCCATGTCCGTATCTACGTCCGTCTGTCCGTTTAGTCCGGCTGTCCGTTTGTCCGTCTGTCCGTTTTTCCGGCTGTCCGTTTGTCCGTTTGTCCGTATGGACGTCGAGATCTCGGGAACCATGAAAACTAGAAAGCTGAGACTTCACAACGCGTATCTAATAGTCGCTGTACCTTGTTTACATATAACCATGTACGAAAGTGTTACTTAATTCAGCTACTAAATGTGATAGCCACAAAAACTAGAAAGGGAAAGCTGTGATAAGCGGGCGAGTTCATAAACGACAAACCCGTAAAAGTTATCTCACAGTCTAGAGGAGGCATTGACATTTGTGAACGTTCGACGTCGAAGAGTCATTATTTCTC